GGCGGAGGATGGTACGTGCACACAGCAAAGGACGAGCCACACCACTTCAGTTACGTTCTGGTGCACGAACAGAAAGTATAATGATTGACGCACTGTCAAGTGTGTGTGTGTGTGACTATCAGTATCTGCACATCTTCCCGAAGATGTACTGGCCAATAGGAAAATTCCAATTCACTTTGGGTAAGGAAAACAGCGTTTTTCCTGTATGGATTTATTCCGAAGCTAGATACAGTGGTGAATGGTGGTTCACAAAATTCAACGTATTTGAGGCAACCACGTCGGTTATAAAAGTCACCACACTAGCCACTTGAGTAAAGAATAAGGCGAGATGGACCAAATGGTTAGAGCGCGAATTTACTGACAGGAAGGTCCGTGGTTCGAACCCGACGTCTGCCTCTCAACCTAACCTGTCTAGCCTTGGGCAATCTGGCAATAACTAAGCCCTCGGGCTTCCATCTGATGGCATGGCAGCTAGGCACCAAAAGGGTGCTACAGTTGAACGATTTATTTTTATTTTATATTTACGAAAGTGATTGGCTGAAGAATAAATGAAAAAAAACAGGCGTGTTCGTTCCCGTATAATTCATCCGAATGCCGTTCCGGGAGAAAAAACTGTAAATGACGGTGAATGTCATCTTTGTTAGCAGAGGCAGCAACAACAGCGTTGCCCCCGATACTCCCCTACCATACAATCATAATGTTTGTCTAGTCATATTTAAAGCCTTTGAGTGGATCAAGAGCAACACAAACTGGTGAACGTGACTCAAGCCTTTGAGATCCCTGCACAGACTTCCTCAGGCATACTTCTATCGGAATGAATAGGACTGCCGAAGTATGTAAAAATTTCCACAAATTTCAATAAGTCATCCTGATTTTCAACAAGCATGTTCAAAGGCTACAGCTAATGAGGCATCACTCTGCATCTTGTAGGTGCAACACCGTACCACGAAATGGTATGCTGGAAGTCAGTTTGTTCAGTCCTTGAGCTTTTTGTTTGACTTAAAGGATTGAGACGATGTTGTCTGCGTACTCCTAGTCGACAAGGTTTACACCAGCAATAGTCTAAACGCTGAGGTTCTGAAGATCCTCCAAGTTTCACGAGATCATCTCATCGATGGGAAAGTTGAATAGAAATGAATGGGGTGGACGTCGCTACCATAAACTACTCTGAGTAGAGCAAGTTTAGAGAGATCTCCGTACACCATAAGAGGCCGGAAGGCATGTGAGTTTAGGACTGGATTATGTAAACGAAATTCTGGGCAAGTAATGTCGGGTGGGCGAGGTTAGAAGCACCGACCGATCGAACGCATGCTTAAGCTGGGAGAGACACGAAGATTTGTTCGTGCATAAGGTACTGATCTAACACCTGGCGGAGTGTGAAAGTGTGGTCGACGCGGCCTCCGACCGATCGAAATGCAGCTTCCTGTCTGTGGGTCGAAGTTTCGCGTGCCACCAAAGAATCAATAGTATCACAAACACTGAATCAATAGGAGTAAAAACAAAGTGGTTACTACGTACATGGAGAGTACTCGATTTGGAAATGGGCACTATTTCGGACTAATCCCTCTGGGATGATTTCTTTCCTCCAGATAGACTCAAATCAGTTGGACAGGTATTGATTGACCGTGGATTGATTGTTATCTTTAAGCAAAATGGGTGGGAAGCTGCTGGGACGAGAAGCATGACGGCGTTGATTAAAAGTATATTTTGAGGCCGAAGGAAGTTCCTAAATTACAGCTCACTTTTCTGTCAAAGGTCGACAGCCTGAATGGGGAGGCAGATGGCTAACTGAAATTTATTGATCTCAACAGTCCAAACGTTGTCTTTCGCTGGACATTGAAAAAAGTTGCGGACCAGTCCGAAAATTTTCCATTCTTTCATTTCTTTGACCCTTTGGATCCACCAAACTTTCCGGTGTGCGTGGAGGTTTTTTTTGATTGTTTTGGATTTGGACTGTAGTTACCAACGAATGGCCTCCAGCAAAGCCACTATTCTAGTGTAGACCCAATATTTAGGAGAATGGCTGGGTTGTACCTCATGTAAAGGTTCTGACATCGGACAAGGCTGTAGATATCTTACCAGCTGATATCGGATCATCAGGGGAGTGTTGGAGGAGTTCATTTTGGTATATTCGTTTATTTCTGGGTTCACAAGCTTCTCAATGATCAAAAGAGGTGTGAATGTGCGCAATGAAGAGCAGCAGCGGACACTTGCATCATCGGGGTTCATGCAGTTATTCCAGAAGCTATGACAAGCATGTCCCGAAACTCGCCACCGGTAATTAATGGTAATGTGGTCTATTTGGGTTCGAGACTAGTTCGCTGGTTGGCGTCACGTGATCAAACGATCTTTGCTGTTCCGGTGCAACATAGAAACAGTGCTATCAGCACACAAAATCATTGGGCGCTCTCCGCTGTCCGTGCGTCTCATGTAGAATCCAAAATGACCATCCAATAGAACCTAAGCAGGGCCAAGCTGTGTTCGTTTCACCTTCGTCCAAAACAACGTGTGACCTTTTACTTGGTTGTAAGCGCACGCCCCGTTGTACACAGAAACTAAAGTGAAACGGCTGACGGCATCACACAACGTATACGCGTATATTGGTTGTGAAGTTTATGGTTGTACGAGGGCTGGAGTAGTGTAAAGGCGCCCACATGTGACCAAGAAGATTGTCCCTTTATCAAAGGTACGGTTCGAAAACCTGACTCCAAGGGGGTGGGGGGGATGCAAGTAGTAGCAGTAAGTAGTAGTACAAGTAGGAGGAACAAGCAGCAGTGCAAGTTCCACCATTCGATATGAAGGACCAGGAGGCTGCGCCCGTCATATCTTTATCCATTGACCATCCGGGTGGGAGAAAATTTGGGGATTAAAGGGTTAGTGTCAAAGTCGTAGAGGTACATACCCTACAACACCACGATAAAAGTACCTGATAAACGACCGATTGAGTTCAGTTTGACAGTCGTTAACCAAGTACCAAACACCTGTTGGTTCCAGTTGACGCGATGCTGTCCACTGAGTAGGAGAAAAATGACGATTGTACAGGGTACGCAGAATACAACTTAGCTGACATTGATTTCCTGGATTTTTCTCACCGGACGCTAAAATCCCCGTTTACGTTAACAAGTATGTACTATGTTACGGTAAGCGATCCACTACCGTCACAAATCTAATGATCCGTCGGTGTCAAAAGCGAAACGTTGCCCAAACAAAAACTACCGATTGTTTACCAGGCCCTTTTGAAACTAATGATCAATCGTCTAACGGAATGGGACAAGAGATCGCGCTTTAAAGGCGTAGAAATATGCTGACAAAACGGAAGGGCCTAGAATGATACAATGCTTCAGTGGGAAGGCGTCACCAAAAGTAGTAGTGGCGTAACGGTGATACTACTGATGGGGAAGCATGCGAGTAGTATGTCTGTTTCTTGTAAATTCCCTCTGCGTCTCTTGAAAAGGGAGATCTGTTCCGGAATTTGTGGAGTCGCTTTGTAGCACTTTCTTGGTTTTGAGCAACAGTCAATGAATGTCCGGGAAAGTTCAGGAAGACGCGTTCAAGGAGAAGGTGGATATTCAGTTTTTGTAAATAAGTTGCATATGATAATTTTGCTTCCCTGTCCAGTAGTCTGTAACTGGTCAGTTGGCATTTTCTAATAAACATCTTCGCAGTGAAGGCCTTCTTCCTTTCAATTCATTCCATTCTATTCTGGCTGACGGCCGACAAACCCGCACATGAACGTTCCAAAAGGATCAACAATCGTAAACTGATCCTGCATACTAAGCAAACAAGTATGTGTAGGAAACCAAGTGATTGAGTGATTTCGGTTGTCCCAGAAATTTGTCCTCTACAGAAACAGTCTGTGTTAAGCACATTGTTGTATCGAGTGCAGTTCAAGGAGGGCACCCAATTACGTCTACTTGCTTGTGGATTCATCTCTCTGACATCTACGATGATATCTGAATTACTGGCTTATAAGTGGTGTCATGCACTTGCAACGATCGAACTTTACGCGTGCATTGGACCCACTAATAAAAAGCGACTGTGTTCGAATCAATAAAGTGCACAATCGATCATAATAAGAGGACTGTAGCAGTAAAGAGTTTAGAAAAATGACTGAAGAGGTCGAGTTACGAACAGTGAACCGGTTGTTCATATCAACCTGAACACCTCGACATTTTCAAACCATTCAACCAAGGGATCACGAGATATCGCGTAAATTTGGATGTGATCGGAAAGGATACGGGACAACGACCAGTTCATTCTTATATCACGCATACGAGTTTGTATAGGCGAATTATTAAACATGTAAAAATAACAGACACGAACTGAACTTGCAACCGCACTCTTCGGACTAACACATGAGTTCGGTCGGCTGTCGAAAAAGCGGAGATAATGGTTTTTGGGATGACTGTACTAAGCTTGCACCAAGTTCCTGTACGGCAGCAAAGCATCCGCGTTGAACACTGATGTCATGCTGTCCATTATGATGATGATGATGGTTGGACCTCTTCTGTGGAAGGTTTTGATCAATATGCGCTTCAGAATATTCCGACGTGACGGGTTGTCTCTCCACGTACTTAAACTGAACATAAGCTTCAAGAAGAGAAAAATGGTGTTCATTGGGAGTCGTTACCGCAGGCAGCAGCCACCCAGTTCGACTTGAAAGTGACCGTCACCTTTTGGTCTGGTAACAGTAGGACAACGAATAAATATACCTCGACACCACGACAAGCAGGCATACCACAGCGAATGTAAATCACATCGTTAATGACAGAGTCGACCGCACCGGGGCGACGAAGCATCTGAAACACAGCCGGTAGCGACGTCATTTGGAACACCCTTTTCTAGGTGTGAACCTTCTGCATAGGACAAGAGAAGCTCTTTGAGGGTGTACTAGCAAATTATTCTTTGCATGACAGAGCTGTGAATTGCCTGGTTTACATTATGCGCGACAAGTTGAGAAGTGTAAGAAAAAAACAGGGGGCGGAATTCACACCACTTACAATCATTTGTATAAAACCCAGTGCGACCGCTATATTGCATAACCAGTTGGTCGTTGCCGACACGCCGATTGCAGCATCCCTCGTTTCCTGCGTGAACATTTCGGCCGCGATAAACCATGGGATCGAGCCTGCCACACGAACAGTGAAAAGAACGTGAGTAAACCAAGGTAGGCAAGAGGCAGGGTAATTTTTGAACTCAATATGAATTAAAAACGGCAGTAAGGTACCGATTTGTTTTTCTGCAAACATGTGCAACCAGAACATGGTTCTGCCTAAAAATGTGGTACAAGCACTTTGTATTAGGTTTCTACTTGTCCCAAACAAAGCTGCCGTCAACATTCCGGTACTTTCGGTCTTTCGATGGGCGAAACAGCTGGTTTAAGATTACTGACAAACTGCACGCTTCGGTGTAGAGAGCGTGCTGTGCGGATTAGTCGGAAATGATCACTAGTGCGGCGAACGTCATAGCAAGTGTTACGATCTGATTTTAACAGGTGGTCTTCATCTTTGATACGAGATGAGAAACAGCCCGTATTGTCGTTGGACAGAAGACGCGAGGTTGAATTTCCTCGAAGTCGGCACTATCTCTCTGAGGGATGTGACTACGATAAAAACTTTCCCGTCCAAAAGTGACTAATGCCGGGATGTTTTACTATACTCAGTAAAGGCAGTGGAAAACGGACGATTAGTTGTTGCGTCAAGTGTCACAGAGTCAGGATATCGGTGGCACACTGTACAGGCGAGCAGAAGCGGTACACCATACAGGCACACTTATTCAGAGTTCTACCAGTTGGGGGAGACATGATATAGGGTCAAGTCGCCATACAATGTTCCCGATAGAATGGAAAGTTTCCCTGCCAAAGTGTCAAACACGCACGTTGTGTAATGGAGCACGATAGATGACGTAAAACTGGTCTCTTTACAGTTCAGCGAATGCTTTCCGAAGGAACAGACCTGATACAATAGGTAAAAAACACCTTGGAAACCCACTCCCTCTTCGCGGCCATTCATTCAAAACTGAGATAAAAATCCCACTGGGAATAGATAGATGAAATGCACATTATCATCATCATCATCATCATCACACTATACGGCAATACACCAGTAGAAAACAGGTGTTTGGCTGCAACCCAACCACCGGGGAAGATGGCTCTGCTAAAGAGTGGAAAGGGTGGAGGGAACAGGGGGGACTTACTGCAAAAAGGCCTATGCTCTCAAGGATAACGGTTAAGAAAATAACAAATTTGAGGATGATGTTGGAACCATAATCCATCATCCGGAATAACCTGGCATCTTTTGCGAATGGCACCCAACACAAGCCCACCACAGGAGAAATTACGTGAATCCCATCCATGAAGGTGCGCAAATCACAAAAAGGTTGAAAATACACTAGTGAGTGGATTCTTCTGTAAAAGTAAGTAGTAACCAAAGTGAAGCAATGGACATGTCTTGGATACAGCCGATTGAGGATCTTGCTAACCTATCGACTGCGATTTGGTAAAAACACCGGTAATCGATAACCAATCAAGAGCCAGAAGGACGGAAACAACTGAACGGACAGATTTAACCAACCGAATAGCGGCCGCGTTCGTGAGTACAATGCAGACCGTGTAAGCGCCCTTTTGGACGGTCGAACTTGAGTGTGTCCATCAAATACCCTATTAGTACCGAACAGCAATCCTTCTCTGGGACAGGCGTAACGGGTTTTCGCTGGTGGGCTATTCTTAGAAGAAGGCCTGCCGACCGAAACAACACTTAATAAACATAAAATTTCGATAAAGACACGAAAGAGCACCAAAGTCTGTATGGCAGTATGGGGACCTTCTGGTGTGAAGCCCAGAAAATCAAATTCAACTTGTAAAACGCATTTATATAGTCTATGAAGTTATTCCGCTGAAAAGATCACCACTGTTCAAACACCATATGAGTAGACGACAGAGTGTCATTCGAGTCTTGGCTTGTGCTTGATCCACTGGCAACTATTTGTACTTACATAAGTATCATTGTTTGATTCCACAAATTTTCGTATGTAAATGCTAAACATAGAAAGGTCCTCCTGCTGTCCCATCAGTAATGTTGCTTGTAACGTTCACTTCAGTACAGATGAGTTAATCGCAATGCATCATTCGGTGCATGGGGAAAGGATTCGGTTGGAGGCCGGTGAACGAAGAGCTGCGTGGATACTTCCCAGCTGCCCAGGCTGAAAAATGAGATTTGGTTGAGAAACCGCACCTTGAGCCTTTGACCCTAAAGTCTGGCCCACAAAACAGTGGGAAGGGGTAGGGTTTTGTTCAGAGGCCATTACGCTATCCTCTGACCCGAAAGTCTGAATCGCAAGACAGCCGTTGTTTTGGTTTTCTTGAGAAACCATTCCCAGAACCAGTGACGCACTAGTATGATCCATTTAGCTGCAGGGGTTTGACGTAGCCTAAAAGCACAGGCAGTAACCGACTCTTAATTCAGCGGCACAAAGCAGGTGCATTTTAAACAACACCAGAGTATTTCGAGTGTATAGAACAATACGCCGGCAGTCGCGGGCAACTTCTTGGCGATCGGAGTGTGCATTTTTTCAGAACCGACATTTTTTAACCCCTCTATCTTCAGAGAAATGCAGAATCACTGCCTACACAAGTGTGGACGGATGCCAGGTTGTCTAAGCCCAGACGGGGGAAGTCGAGAGCCAGAGGTCCGGTTCGAACCACGGACCTTCCGGTCAGTCAGAGAATACACACACCCATTCACGTCATCCATACAATAAAATCTACTTTTTGCGTCCGGATTTGGAAATAAGAAAACTGGTAATCGCAGCGTGATTGAAACGATCGAAGCCACAATAGAATGAGCAAGCCAGCGCTGGATCCAAAACAATATATGGATCATGAAATAGAATCCGCCGAAGTTAGCACATCCTCACCGACTCCATCAATGTAAACCCGAAAATGTTGGGTTCCGAGGATGCGACGTCTGTATATTTCTAATCACAAAATACGTCATACTATTTGGGGAAAGCTGGACAAAAAGCACAGAAGATACTCTAAGTTGAGGGTTCTTGCACCGTTGTATGTTTGCTAGCTTGAATGCTGTTGCGAGTTATCCGGGAGGTTTTTGCCAAATCTCGAAGTGCACCGTTATTTTTTTTATAGATTTGCATAACACTTGAAACTATAGTGGTCGTTGTCGAGATTTGGAGGTGATCTATCAGAAGGTTCCAGTTCCAAGGCGAACGTCACCGAAATGAAGTAGCTTTATTTTGGAGGGATGGAGCCTATTTAGTCGACAGTGTGATACATAGCCCTGTAGCCGTTCACGGTTTCCCGCGGGGTGCACAGATTTCCACGCAGCTGCACGCCAGCACAGCGGGTGGGGCATCTCTTTATAGAAGAAAAGAACTAAATTCGTCAAATCGGTAGAAGGGGCTGGGACATTGCTGGGTTTATTAAGATTTTGCTCACCCATTTTTGGCAGGAAACCGAAAGTGGGTGACAGTTTTGTTCTAATGAAGGAATAAGCTCTCTGGCTCGACCATGATCCTTCACTGTGATTTCAATTATTTTGAATATCTCTATCCATTTTTGATAACGACGATTCACGCGGCTTCCGTCATTGGGTGCAAATTTGTTACCCCATTACTCCTGTTGGAAGTGTAACTTACCGAGATTTATTAGCCACGATGGACAGTATTTCATTTTTACCCACTAGTCATCATAGGTCTTATCTGAGGGCGCTGCTTACATTGAGTGCAATCCAAACCTAGCTAGCGATCGGATCAGCAAAATGGCCTTAATAGTGTTTCGCATGTTCTCAGCAAGTAAAGAGATCTTCCAGGAGGTCAGTGCGTGCCAAGTCAAAATAGATTATAAATCCAGTGAACAACGAACTGTTTCAAATGACAAACGGTGGTATTCTGAATGTTCTAGGTTGAACTGGAACGAAGAAAAAAGTGGAGCTCAATGCACGATAGAAAGTCAACAATCGGTGTGCCGACATTTCGAATAAGTAGGGATGGGCAGTATCAGCAGAAGAGTGATCCGATTTACACCAAATTTGGTATAGTGTGCCGTACATAACTTTTGTGCGGTGGAATAAGGTTTTTTTGGCATACAGAAAGGACAGTGGGAATTTCACCGCAATTTTTCTTCGCCCCATCAATACTTGTCGTTGGAATCAGAGTAGCTCCGTGTAGGACACACTTTTATAACTTATTCTCCATATACTTCCGAAGGGAACATAGTGCGAGGAAGTAAGAAGTAACTTAAAAGCTTAAAAATTTAGGAGCATGCTTCACTGTAAAATGCAAACAGTTCAATCGAATTGGTGTGAAAACGGTGCGAAATGATAGTGAACGGCACCGATACAGTGGAGCAGAGCTTGAATTCAGTTCAAACGATTCCTTTAATCTATGGCACGATAATTAGCCAATGACACGTTTTCCTTCGCCCCATTAATACTTGTCGTTGGAATCAGAGTAGCTCTGTGTAGGACGCACTTTTATAACTTATTCTCCGTATACTTCCGAAGGGAACATAGTGCGAAGAAGTAAGAAGTAACTTAAAGGCTTAAAAATTTAGGAGCATTAGGAGCATGCTTCACTGTAAAATGCAAACAGTTCAATCGAATTGGTGTGAAAACGGTGCGAAATGATAGTGAACGGCACCGATACAGTGGAGCAGAGCTTGAATTCAGTTCAAACGATTCCTTTATTCTATGGCACGACAGTTAGCCAATGACACGTCTGTTGTTTCGGCCTTCATGAAGGGTGCCAAAATAGAATTTCTGATTAGGAGAATCATTGGAAAACAATAGTTAATTTGTGTTTTTTGGGCAGCAAGAAGCTATGAGACCTTTAAGTCAGTCCCGAATATGTGACTCTATGAACGAAACTGTTGTCAGTACCTGACAGTGTGGCCCGCCAGATCATCATCATCATCATTGTCAGCTGCAAACTCAGCTGCGCTGGTCATTGCCGTCTTCCTGGATGGGGACCCCGAGACGGGCCACATCAATGGCTAGAGACGTTTTCAGATATGGCCCAGTCGCGCCGTCAATGGCGCTCGTGCATCCAAGCTATTGCCTTCAATGCATAGCTCCTTTTCCAACCCCCCACCCCACTTGACAGCCCACTGACAGTGCTGGGTTTATGCACCAGTTTATTAGCTCCCGGCCCGCCAGATATTCGACAATCTACCGTAAGGTTGACAAAGTCATCCAATATTTTTTGCGAAGTGTTCCAGCTGTATTGGTCATCATTTGCGTAAAATCGCCCAAACGTTCTCCTTCTCCCCTCACCGTGGATCCGTTAGGCAACTGTTCAAAAACATATCTGTTCGGTTGACCAAATGCACAACCTGCCGATCGCTTTCTCCGAAAGTCCTTCTTCTCCTTTTGACCAATACCTATTATACTCCCAGTATGCCCGAGTGAGATCAGATTACCTGATAAAACTGACCTACTTTATGAGCATTTTATGCATGTCTAAAACCCAAACTAACCTGAAATAACTATCACTAAATACATGCCCCACATTAAAGCAGCCCCAGTCTCCGAAGACTTTTACAAACTGTGAAACATTAAAGCTTTTCGCACTGATTGGTCATTCATTATGATACGCGCGTCATTCTCCAGTGTCGACCCACTGAATCGGACCAGTGTAGACTAACTAGATAAAAAAAGACATTCTGAGCAATCACTGCTAAAGCCAGAATTTCATAAAATAGGGAGAGAAGAAGACTCACATGGGGCTCAGGTTCAAAGCTCTCAGACTAGCTAACATCTAGAGAACAGTAGTAGAAGATACAGCCACATTTTACCCCAGACTCATTTCAGCATATGGACATCAAACGGGACATACTGTTCCGCGCGCCCCAGCACATAGTGGGTCGATAAATTGGGCAGTTAAGGAGGTTGTACCAGTGAGAAAGACCAGGCTTTACATGTATTCACGCAAGAAAATGAGTTTATCATCCAGACAGTACACTCACCAGGTCCAATCCCGAATCCGCAAACGAACACGTAGATCGACACAATAGCCGGGTAGATTGGCCAACTCACCTGGCCATACTGCTTGCCAATCATACAGAAAGTGAAAGACAGCAAACTCAGGAATGCGACAGCCAGACCACCAATAAGTAGGATTCGCCGACCCGCACGCTCAATAATAAATATAGAGACTATGGTGATGAGCAGCATAAATCCGCCAATGCCGATTGTCGTATAGGTGGCCTGCTCATCAGTGAGACCATTTACTTTGAACAATTCAACGGAATAGTAGACAACCTATGAAAGATAAAAAGTGACACGTACCATTAAAATAGTCAGCAAAAAAGCGGAGGGACTAATTATACCACAAAGTTTACCCGTAAAAACCCAACTTTTCGAAGAAGACACGAGTTGCTGATGATATTTAGCAATAATCTACTGGTATAAGCCTGGAGATTCGGGGTTCAGCATTAGGCATTCACTCATAGTAGTCGTTCCATCTTGTTTGAAAAACAATATAACCCCATCTGTTCAGTGGAGGAAATGCTCCACAGACCGCGTGTTCGTTCTAACAAAGAAGTGGTTACTAGAATGGCCAGCCAATAGTGGATCACATGGAATAAAATGTGTGATTGGGGGATAGTGAGAGTATGTTCTGTCTAATTGCGAGTAACTCGAACTGCTGATCGACCAGTGGTAGCCGAATGGGGTAGTACTCACCTACTACAGGAATGCCATGAATTCGACGTCTCCTAGATATTAGTGGGGCGTCGATGATGATCCGCAAGATCAGAAGGGGGAATAATGTTTCTTAGCCATAGCATGTAACTGAAACTTCAAAATTACCCGATACGTAAAATATAAAATGGCTTTCAAAGAACGATTCCCTCCTTCTTATACGAAAGCAAGCCCCCAGTCCTCTATGCTTTCACTCCATTCCCACTCAACGTGAAACAAACACAAACACAGAACGAGTGGATTCTGATGGCACACCGAACTATTTTAAGGAGAATGCCCATGGATTGAGACTGTTGGACAGGCAAAATGATTATGAACCACACTGAGAGAAATCATCGGGTTGCGTAAGTAATGGCCTTTATGCATTGAGACTGCCATCTCCTGTGCACAGTTAACTCAAATCCGAGGGGAAATACAGTCATCTTTAATGGACTTTTCTAGGGAAATCCTCCCTATTTTTCCAGTTCATATCATCGAATTCCACCTGCAAACATGGTCAACTGAGTTCTACCTTTCTGGTGGATTCATCCAAATTGCCCTTCGCTCATTCGGCTATGGAATCCTGTAGGTGCATAGCTGCCATGCAACCCAAAGCAACATGAGGGCTGAGGTGATGTCAGGTTGTCCACGCCTCAACAGGAGCACTGGGGAAGCCAGGGTCGGATCCGAACGAAACACCCTCCAGCCGGTAGCTTATCAAGCTAGCCCGAGCCCACCTTCAGCCACACCGTTTATCCACTAAAATAACACCCTGAGCCTGAATACTACATCAAGATATAACTTGATTCACAGGGAGGCCCCGTGCTACACTGACACTCATCTTGCTCGTCTTGCTCGACTTTAATTCTATCATCTTTTTCGAATACTTACGATTGGTTGCTTGTGATGATTAAAGCTTTAAATGACAAAATGCTGTACATCGTGTTGTGCCTCCAAATATTCACCCAATAACGATTTAGTTTGCTAATTGAAGTGATTCGCAAGAATCACCTGTGTACTAAAGACAATATGTTAGGCTTGAATGACCTTCCTCAGAACACAAACTATTTATCCAGTTGATCAGCATCAGCTGTAAAAACAGCGTGCTTGCGGTACAGTGGTTCTATCTGTCATAGTTTCATTCACCAATGATTTTAGGAGATGGGGTAGATAGTTGCACATTGGAGGCGGTAATTGATATAGTTGATGCGTAGGCACAAGATTTTTGGTTGACTTTTAGTGGTGGAGATTAAAAGCAAAAGCTTGGATGCATGGAGACATTAGGGGCGCGACTAGTTCATGTCTAACAATGTCTCTAACCATCGATGTGTCCCATCTCGCAATCCCCATTCAGGGAAAAGACCATGACCAGCGCCAATGAGTTTGGAGTATATTGGCTTTCAGACTTCGCTGCCAAGTCATAGTTTGACCTTCTCTGGCTCGTTTCCACCTTTCACTTGTGGTTATGCAAAAAAGACCTTTCAAAGAAATCGGTTAACTGGCATACAGAGCACGTGATCGAACCATCGCAACTTACGTAGTGTGATCAGTTCATCTGTCGCGAAGTATCTATTCCAAAAACCATTTGACATACTTCAACGCCACTGATCAGGTGTTCGCACCAGACTAGGGAAATGCTCCCGAGCCACCGATGGTCAAACACAGTTTTTATATGTCCGAAGCGCGTGGCTGCCAGGTTTATGACCCGTATAATAATATAAAGCGCACAGCAGCGTTGCAAACTCAACCCTTGACAGAAAAGCTGACGTCACGCCTACGCCACATGTGATGCAAGGTCGCGGAAGCTGCTCCGACTTCTCCAATTTGGATAGAAATATGGTCATTCGCGAGATTACCGGGACTGATACAGGTATCAAAGTAGGCAGATTTGTCTGCTACCTCATTCGGCTTGTCTGGGTTCGAGTACACCCAGTCTTGCAGCAGCGCTTAACACTTTGCAAGTGTGAATAGCACGCCAAATCATGGAGCAGAATTATTTAAATTATTTAATATTGTTTGCATTAAAACGGCGCCAGACCCAAGAAGAATTATGTGGTCTGCGTACTCAATACCTGTGAGTGAACGATGCAGTGCTCACTGTGCGCTTCGAATACCAGTGGAGAGAGTGGCCTCTTGAATCATTCATCACATTCTGAATCTATGATAAATGGCAAAGTGGACAGTGAATGATCCCAAATTGAAGCAAGAATAGCAGCAAAGCGTTGACGGGCACTAAAGACGAAGTCCCCTGCAGAACTCCCATTAGGAGTATGGAAAACCTGAAAATATGATAACGCCAAACAGCTGGTGGCACTACATTCGAAGTCAACCGAAAGAAATTATTGATGCACACTATTCCCACTCGATGGATATAAATGGACTGGAAAACAGCTGTATGCGGTTTGCTATGTGGTGAATTCAACGCATAACACGTGAGAGTATTTGGAATTATTGTGAGATAGGATCCGTACTTTGTTGCGCAGCGCTTGATTAGAATTCACAAGCCACTGTGCTTGTCAAATTCACCCCAAGAAGCCACAGTCCAAGATATTCTGATGAACAGCGGCAAACACAATGAAGGGTTCGCGGCAATGTTTATATAGGCCACAGCAAACTGTGCTGTCCCTCACTGACCGAAGAGATGCCCAAAGAGGTTACGTTTCCCATTTCCAAGTTATGCTCACATTTGGGAGTGTTACATGCGTTAGCTTGAACAACCTGAGTCACAAGCGTTGCTGGGTCAATTCGCAGCTTAGGGTCAGGTACAAAACATAGCATGGAGTATCCGTGCATACATAGGTGACCGTTAGCTGACGGGATTACAGTACGGATGTTGTGTTTTGCAAAAGGCACATTGGGAACGATGGATACGAAAAATTAAAACTGAACAGGTGTCAAAAAACCGCTCATTCGGCTTGTCTGGCTTCGGGTACACCCAGTCTTGGAGCAGCGCTTAACACTTTGCAAGTGGGAATAGCACGCCAAATCATGGAGCAGAATCATTTAAATTATTTAATATTGTTTGCATTAAAACGGCGCCAGACCCAAGAAGAATTATGTGGTCTGCGTACTCAATACCTGTGAGTGAACGATGCAGTGCTCACTGTGCGCTTCGAATACCAGTGGAGAGAGTGGCCTCTTGAATCATTCATCACATTCTGAATCTATGATAAATGGCAAAGTGGACAGTGAATGATCCCAAATTGAAGCAAGAATAGCAGCAAAGCGTTGACGGGCACTAAAGACGAAGTCCCCTGCAGAACTCCCATTAGGAGTATGGAAAACCTGAAAATATGATAACGCCAAACAGCTGGTGGCACTACATTCGAAGTCAACCGAAAGAAATTATTGATGCACACTATTCCCACTCGATGGATATAAATGGACTGGAAAACAGCTGTATGCGGTTTGCTATGTGGTGAATTCAACGCATAACACGTGAGAGTATTTGGAATTATTGTGAGATAGGATCCGTACTTTGTTGCGCAGCGCTTGATTAGAATTCACAAGCCACTGTGCTTGTCAAATTCACCCCAAGAAGCCACAGTCCAAGATATTCTGATGAACAGCGGCAAACACAATGAAGGGTTCGCGGCAATGTTTATATAGGCCACAGCAAACTGTGCTGTCCCTCACTGACCGAAGAGATGCCCAAAGAGGTTACGTTTCCCATTTCCAAGTTATGCTCACATTTGGGAGTGTTACATGCGTTAGCTTGAACAACCTGAGTCACAAGCGTTGCTGGGTCAATTCGCAGCTTAGGGTCAGGTACAAAACATAGCATGGAGTATCCGTGCATACATAGGTGACCGTTAGCTGACGGGATTACAGTACGGATGTTGTGTTTTGCAAAAGGCACATTGGGAACGATGGATACGAAAAATTAAAACTGAACAGGTGTCAAAAAACCGTCTACTAAGGTGAGTGCTGTTTTCGGCGCGACATGCATAGATGCGCGAATACTTGAACTGCATGTGGCCTGGAATATAATTTTAAGAACTGTTACGAAAACTCCAGATACTGTTAGTGAGACTTACACTCCAGAATTTCGACTGTATGAAGCCCCCTAAAACACACAACTGCTAAGCGGTAAAGTGTGGAAGCCCCAACCAGAAGGTGCATAGATCGAGTATTAACTAGTTACTCTCCCTGCTTCCGCTCTTGTCATTCTGACTGCAATAAAGGGGTCTCAAACTGATTTGACAGGGCTGCCCGCAGCCATTATCAACAATCAAATAGATGTTGATCACTAGTACAGATTATCGTAGGGAGCTGGTGCATGAATGCTAAGTACCAGCATTGTCTGCACGCTGACCAGTGTTCAAGCTACTGTCGACTTTACCAAACGATGTCCTAACTAACAAGAAACTGATCACTGAAAAAGTACATCCTGTCAGAAAACGGGTTAAAAACTTTGGGCGTTCTAGAGAGGAACCTGGGGGAACTCAAGGATAAAAACGTTAGAATAACGAGTTGTGCAATAACGGTTACATAGGTCACATGCTCGATGCATATTTACCCACACACTTACTCCGTTTATACCAGAAAGCTGTTGACCGAACTGGGACAATAAGGCGACCATAAGACCGATGCGGAGGTACGGTTTACGCAACAGTTCAAGAACAGTTGCCTAGGAAGCAAATGTTGTCAAAGCAAAACCACAAACTTTTCGAGATGCAATGCTCGCTTCCCGCGAAAATCCCGTCAATTCAGTGTCGACGTCATGGTCAGGACTCCTTAGGCGCTGGAGAGCTTGGACAAATAAACCGATTTTTGGGAGGACTTACCTGCACGGGCGGTTTCCGGATCACGCTTGATGATGTATAGATATCGAGGACTTTCTGGGCACAGTAACAAAAGTGCCGAACCAAGAATGCACGGTATAATGTTCAACCCTGAGTGCAAAATTACTATAAAATTTCTCTTACCTAGCAAATACGGCCATAAGTCTTTGGTGCCCATTAGCTGCCGCAGTCCCAGTATTTGCGAAAGTAACAGAGAAAACACAATCATCAACTGATTCAGAACACCTGCTGCGCCGCGTACAGACAATGGAACTATTTCTGACATGTAAAGTGGACCAACAGCAGTGTAAGCTCCTTCATCGAATCAGTATAGATACTGGCAATGCAACACATACCACAAGCAACACCCACAAGAAGTCTGCCAACAATGATGATTTCGAAGGATCTGACTGCTTGGCAAACCATGATGAAAATACAGCCGAGGACACAAGGGACTGATAGGACTAGAATCGCCCTTTTCCTATTCAGAAGATAGAGCACCCACGAGTTGAACCCACCTGCCGAGCTTGTTGGCGAGTAATCCGCTAATTAGGGCGCCAGCAAGACCGCCAATCAGGAATCCAGAAACGCAGACGAAGCTATGA